CCTGTGCCGATAGAGAGCCGTGTTAGCCCGATACATCAGGCCGATTTTAAAGCTGTTTATGTTTCATTTAGACATTAGCCGGGTCACATGGTACGCTGCTGATGTGATACAGGCTACTTTTTAACCGCAGCTACTCAATATGTTTTTATGAATATCACTCCTTTTATCGCAGATGGCTAAGCAGAGAAACCGTCGCAGCATGGTGTGGGAGGATTTTACTCACAGTTTCAGGGGTGTCAGTCTGTAAAACCTGCCTCGCCTTGCCTTAAGGAGCTGCCAACCCACCTAAAAGCTTTCATCTGGGAGGGTTCCACTGGCTTTTTAGTGTCCCACGGTGTAATTACCGTTGCAGAAGGCTCTTCAGTGCTGCCAAGATTAACATGCTGGCAGGAACAGTGAATCGCTTTAAATCCGAGTTTGTGTTTGCTGTTAAAAGTAAAAGATAGGAATCTTTTGGTCACTAAACCTGCATAACTCTCTAGCTGGAGGTGAAGTGAGATGGTGAAGGGGCTTCACGCTCACAGCACTGTGAATATGTTGTCAGCACCGAAGGCCGCAGCCCTCACGAGAGCCCCCAGAGAGATAATAGTGTATTTACCGCTTACGCATAACAATCTCTGTGCTGTCTCTGTAGCCCACAGTGTGAGGTCTGACTGTTTTAATTATTAACTGCTGTGTTCAGAATGAAGCCGCCAGCATTTTCATTATTCACACCATATTTATGCAAAACACCTTCACTCTGTGTCTGTGTGTGTGTGTGTGTCCATCCATGTCTACCACTTCTTCTTTTTTTATTATTTTCTCATGACTACCTCTTCTTCACCCCCTCTCCTCCATTCTTTCATCCATCCCCATCCCTCCTCCTCATCAGCTCTCTCTTCCTCTCTCCAGCAGCGCTCTCTCTCAAAGTCTCGTTTACTCCCTCCTCTGCTGTTCATTCCCTCTTTGGAAACCGGCTTCCTCCAGGGCAAAAACTCTACAGCTCACTTTGTCTCCCTGTCCGCCTCCATCTATGCTCCCCTCCTTCCATCTTTCTTCTTTATCCGCTCTCTCCTTCACTCCTTTTCAGTCCTTTTTCATCTCCTCTCTCCCTCTGACAATAGGTTTCAGGATCCATCTATTGAAAATTCCCATTTGCACAGCGTACCTCTCAGTGGCTTGCTCTCATCTTATCACCGTTGGAGTTTTGTCCGGGCTTTGGTGTTCAGAAGAAGTAGAGGAGAGGTGGCGGGAAAGAAAGAAAACACAGCAAGGAACATTGCCACCACACACTGACACTGACAGGAGGTACCAGAGGTGTACATGACATTAACATTAGAAACTTTGAGATACAGTTAATAAGTTGCATTGCTCGCCAACGTACTAATAACCTAATCCCAACACAGAATCAACTTTTGATGTATCAAAAGTCAGATAGTTAGATGGGAAACTCGTCGAGTCAGCACATTAAGCGACAGAAACAGTCTGAAATGTAAAGAGCTGTGGTGGATGAATGAGGTAACAAGATGGCAGTGGTGCTGTTACCTATAAAGTTCGACACAAAACACAGGCTTACCGTTGATGCACACTGTTAACAGTATTTAAAATAGTTTGAAATATGTTCCAACAAAGAGGGGAAATAATATGAAAATCGCCTGAAGCATCACATGAAGTGACATGAGGTATTTTAATTGATGAGCATAATTGTTAGACTGACAGGGTTGAATATTTGTTTTTTACAATTTATATATTTCGCATAGATTTTATGTTTGCTGCTCGCACAATTCTTGATCATCTTGCAGATACATTTTAAAAGTATTCTAAAGCTAAACAGAAACACTGACTCACTCATCTTGTGATAAACATTAACATCAACTAAAATGAAAAATAAAATAATATGAAATATGAAATAATAGCATTAAAGTCATAATTATTAGAGAGAGAATCTGAGACAAAGACAGACAGAAGAAAGAAAAAGACAGCGAGAAGAACGGCCAGCAAATAGAGGACGACACCAAAAACAGGGTGGTGGAAATACAATCTAAATGGAAAAATGAAAATAGCAAACAGGAGGAGAAGGTGTTGAAGGAGCATGGTAAAAAAAACAAAAAAAAACATGCCAGAAACCCTCTAAATAATCTCAGAGGCCACTTAACACCTTCCAGCAGCCAGAAGTAGTCAGCCTACTGGGTAAGCAAATTCAGAGATAATTGACCTCAACACTATTCTGAGTGAGAGGAGAGAGATGGAGGGAAGCAGAGAGAGAGACAGCAGCAGAGACTGTGCCAGTGTGAACCACCACAGAGAGTAAGTGGGAGGTAGTGTTGTCACAGTGCATAATCGTGTCGCTATCGTTATCACTGGCTAGAGGAACAAAGAACAGAGAGCTGGTGTGTTTGCATGCGTGTGTTAGCGAGAAGGAGTGAAAGTTCACGGGTCAAAAGAGCAACAAAGTGTGTGTGAGAGAGAGAGTGTGTGAGAGAGCATGTAAGAGAGACTGTGAGGGTGTTTATTGCTGCAAGTGTGCAAAAGGTGTGGAGAACTTTGCGTGTGTGTGTGTGTGTGTGTGTGTGTGTGTGAGACAGAGGTTTCCATTATAAGGGAACAGCTGCTGACGGAGGCTGGCGGTGCTCAAATCACCCCGGCACAGATCTGCCTCATGAAGCTGATGATACCAAAACGTTATTGACTGTGTTAAACACGTTTGTCTTGACATTTATCAGCACTCTGGCTTTTTTTTTTTTTTCCTCTCCGTGTGTGTGACAACAAAATCATATTTTTTTCAGAGCACTGCCTCACATTTTCCGCAGACATACTTTAAAGGATTTCGGCGCTTAGCTTTAAATGGCAAAAACAAGGAACATTTCACTGTGGATTACATTTTACAACCACAGTAAAACCTAAAAATACTGTTTTGTCACATCAGATGGATCAAAATGGGATAAAAGTGATAAGAACATTAGTACATCACTGCCAGTTATAAGCTACTGTACCGCAGTGTTAAAGGAGTGCACTTACATTTCTCTAAATATATTTGTTCCATTTCTGACTGAGTCTGAGGGGGATTAATGCTCAACTTACTAGAAGGCTGTTGTAAGGCTTGTTGTGCACATGTTTTTTTTGGGGGAGGCGATATTATTTTCTGCTCCAAATCTGGATGATGCACTAAGCGGTTCCAGTTTAGTTGGCGCAAGTGTCCACGTTTCGTCCAATCGGATTATCAGGGACAGCCACCTTTGCTTTGCATACAGCCATCGGTGGACTTCCATTACCAGCCAGGGGAGGTGTTTGCTGAGCTGGGAGCAGGAATGGGTTAGAAATGCTCACAATGTCCATAGTTTAATGGAAAAAGTTAGCAATATTATATATTCAACTTATTGTCAAAAAATTCCACAAAAACACAAAAGTTCGGGGCTAAGAGCCACGGACAGGTTAGAAATAGAAACACATTGTTGGTTTTGGTCTTTTCTTTAGAATGTGTCCAGAAAAATATAGAAAAGCAGCATTGGCCTTTTAACCGTTTGCCCACTGTAGCTAATTGATGAAGGGCCCGATTAGAAGTTGGCGGCGAAAATAAAGCCAACACACACCGGGGGTGTGTTACAGCCGAGTGCCTCCCTTCAGATCTTTGCCGATTATCCCCGTCTGTCTTCTCCCTCATCTCTCTCCTTCTCTGCCCCTCCCTCTCATGCTAAATGGAAGCTGTGTGTCTCTGTGTTAGAAAGCCAGTCACATCCCGCTCGCTCTTCTTTGTAGCCCCGCTTCGCATCTCTCCCTCTCTCTTTCACATTTTCCCACCTCTACCTTTTTCTCCGTCTATCCTTGGCACTCTCTCTCTCTCCGTCTTTTTCCTCTCCCGGACTGCTCCCTCCAGCCTTCGCTCCGTCCCCACGCTGACACACTCGACTAAGTCTGCCGGAGTCACGGCCTTCAGAGCCTGACAAGAATTCAGTGCCTGCGTCTGTGTGTGTGTGTCTTCAAGCATAGATGAAATATGAGCTGTTAAATATGAATGCAGGGTTATGTTCCGATGCCGTGTAGTCACGTCACTCATGCATGGAGGAGTAAAAAAAAAGTGCACACACACACACACACACACACACACACATACATACACACACACACACACACACACACACACACACACACACACCAGTGTGTATGGCAAGTAACTGCAGAGCTGCTGTGGTATTATTCTGCTTCACATTTGCTATCCATTTGTCTGCGATACTTGCCACACACACACACACACACACACACACACACACACACACACACACACGCACGCACACAGACAGGCCCTGGATTTAGGCTTCACTGACTTTAAACCTTGCTCAGGCTGACAGTAATTTCTGCCTCCAAATTACATTCCAATGGCTTCATAAATCTGCTGCCTCCTCCTCTGCCTCCCCCCCCCACCGTCTTCCTGCCTCTCTCCATCTTCCCCTTCTCTGTTGTCCCCCCCTCTCCTTCCTCGCTCCCTTTTACTCCAGCCTCACTTCATTTTTCCTGTAAACCTCCACCCTGCTACTTCCCTCTCCGCCTCTATTTCACCATCTCTCTTCCTCCCTTCCTCTCCTTCTCCTTCCCCCCCATCGCTTGTTTCCTCGTCCCCCCCCCCCCCCCCCACACTCCTCTCTGGCGCTCGCTCAGTAAATGAGAAACAGGGAGGCAGAGATGGGGAAGTTACGTGTGCGGGGTAGTTAAACAGTCCAACACACACACACACACAAATCCATACAGATACATACGCACACCTACATAAACAGTTTCACACACACACACACAGTCACAGATGTGCTCGCAAACACACAAGAAATATGTAAATACACACATACATGAGCACACATCCAAAGTCAAACATCATAAACAGCACATTACGCTTTGATTGAAAGACAAGCATTTGTGCTGCCATATATTTACCGGGCCTCTAAATTGACTTGCGGGCATATGTGCACGCACGCACGCACGCACGCACGCACGCACGCACGCACACACGCACACACGCACACACGCACACACGCACACGCACACGCACACACGAATACACCCGTGCACACACGCGGACATTTTAATGAGAGTGTTCATTTTACAGATAGTGCCTCTAGGTGAAATAATTGCCAATGTTGGGCCCTGATGGCTGGTCCAAGTGTTCTCAGGCCAGTTGTCTTTATGGGCCATGGCGGGCCGTGAACACAACCCTCATCTCCCTCACTGCCGCTTTAACTACTGCTCTGCTGCAGCCGACACACACACGTGATGACGATATGGGCATAATATGCATAAGCACACAATCTAGACACCAATTTACGCATTAACACTAAACACGCACATGCACACACGCCGAGAGGCCAGCAGAGAACAATAGGGCCGTCTGACAATGGAGCTCAGAGGAATTCTCTCCTCCATATTAATATTCAGCAGAGTGGATGTAGAGAGAGCGTGTCAGCTGGGACGCATGCTCATCAACCTCGCTAACACCGGGGTTAGGCAGCCACATGATTACAAAGTACTCAGACTTTGGTCCCCAGCCCCATAACTATTAATCCCTAGCTCCTACTCCCTCACTTCCTATCTCCTTGCTCCCTACAGTGCACAGAGCGAGCACTCTGCCAAGTATCACAGCTGTCACTTTTCTTTGCTTTCCATTTTCCAAATTATTCTGAACAGCCTGACGGAGCGAAGGGTGGATGGAAAAGGAGATTTGATATCGTCAATTTCCTGCTGCCGCCCACGACAACGTTTCACAAATGCGAAAATGCAGCTCGAAGGTCGTCTGGAGAATTTTCAATTGAAAAAATATATATTTTCTTTCTGGTAATTTTTTTATCAAAACGGCAAAAAAAACACCCAATTACGCAATTTGTATTACTTTTTTTCTGTAACCTGAGGCATCGTAGTCCTTAGTCTCATTGGCATCATTTCCTCTTGTAGTACCTCATGTCAAAGAAAGACGTATTGGTGTAGACGTCACCTGTAGTACCAGTTATACTATCTAACAACGCACAAACACTAAATGCTCTGGCCATACTTCTGTTCATATGTTGCCTCCAAATCTTTAAGAACATGCACTGATTTACACATCTGTACACTTTTCTGTAACAGATGTGTTGCATGAAAAGTGTCGGAGATAGTTATGCCGGAGGCTTCCGCCGCTCTGAGCTCAGATGCAAATGTATTGTCTTTATATGTTGATTCTTGTACATTTCTCGATGTGTTCTCGGTTTATTCAGCTGGTGTTCACCAGCCTTCTCCACTGTCCCGCAAAGCAAAGAAAAAAGATGCTAATATCTGATCTTTATAGTACAAAGCAAAGCGGAAAACAAAACAGCGAGAGCATGCGGAGTGCGAAGAAGCCACAGTGAAAGTCACATTTTGCCGCGTGCCTGTAGGCTACAAAGTTGTCATTGACTTGCTCACAAGAGCGGGGATTTCTGTCCCCAGTAGGAATGAACAAGCACAACAGAGAAGACGGAGTAAGGAGTCAGTCAGGAATGTTTATAACCTCAACACTAAGTGGGTCACCTGCCCAAGTGTGGGAACTGCTCTCTGTATTTGTGCTACAGCTCCTCACCGGTGGTGTTTTGGTGGGAAAATACTAACTCAGTAGTAGTGTGATATATTTTACACTTACTAATGAGCAACTCTCGTATGATTCATGCATTTACTCCTTTTCTGCAAACCCTTACTGTTTTACATCACTGAAGGTCATTTCCCAGCGTCTCTTCAGTCTATTTTTCTTAATGTATTATGTGAACGGAGAACAGTTACTCATTTGACTGTGGTTTCACTTTGTAAGGATACAGGACATTAATTAAAGAAATTTCAAACACACCAAAAAGCAATGGGCTGTGGCCTGAACACCTGTTGGCCAACACCTGAGATTGAAATCTGGACAAATACAAGAAATAAACTCTGACAAGTAAGTGTACATCAACACTTGTCAGAGATGTTTTTTTTTAAAATTCTTTTTATCTAGGGCTGCAACTAATGATTATTTCCATCATCGATGAATCAATCTCATTTTATTGATTAATTAAATAAAAGACTAGAATGGAACTCGGGAGAGCACAGATCTCACAATGTGTTTGTGTATCCACCCAGTGAATCGGGTCTGCTCCAAAAGGAAAATCGGGCCGATACTTTCTCTCATCTTTCTGACAAGCAAATAAACCGGACTGAAAACACAACATCCTCGGTGGAGGTAAAAAAAAAAAAAATGCTCATCACAGTTACAAAGTCTAAATGTAAATTGCTTGTTTTGTCCGACCAACGGTCCTAAAGACAAATATTTTCTATCGTAGAAGATAAATACCAGAAGCTGGAACTATTAACTTGTTGGCATTTGGGTTTAAATCATTACATCAATAAATAACTGTGGAGCACTCTGAGAGCAAACACCGCCGCCAAGGCCTTTTCCATAAGTGAAAAATAATGTGTGTATCTCACCCGTGACACAGATCCGCTCCAAAATGTAATGAGGTTCTCTTTGGCTCATGTTACAACTTCCTACAAAATTTCATGAAAATCGGGCCAGTAGTTTGTCTGTAATCCTGCTGACAAACAAAGAAATCCAAAAACAAAATCTCCTTGGTGGAGGTAAGCATCGAAGTTGTTGGCAAGATCTTCTGTCAAACTACTCATCGATGCATTGACTAAACGTTTCAGCTCTACTGTATTCTCATGTTTTGTATTTATTCTAAACACACAGAAAACGGTGTCTACATCTAACATTTTCATTGCCTGATATTAGAGACTTAATGAAACTTCATATCAGACAGTTGTTGACCTCACGATGAAGTACCTTTACCGCGACCATTCACAGTCAAGAGGTTTTCTATGCTGTCTGAATTTCAATGTGTGAAAGGGTTTTATAGATTCTATTGAGCATGCATTCAAATACTGCACCTTTTAACATCAGAGGCATGACATTAGTATAACAGAGGAAATAAACTCAACTCTTTGTGATCCAGCGAAAGATGGCTGGCTCCATGTCAAGGTGCATCCGTTCACCATTAACAGCGTCTGTAATCTCCTTCTTGGAGGTTAACTGCTATATTCAGATGTTGGATTAATGTAATACAATTAATAAGGGAGATATTTCCTTTGAAAACTTCAGCAATGTGCTGAAACACGGTTATGACGAAAAGAAGTCAGTTTCTTTCTGTACCTTTTATCTGACCTTCCTCGAGCTCCTTCTCAGATACTCCCCTCTCCTGAATGATGAGAGTCGAGCTTTGCTCTCCTAACTCCCTGCTCCAATACGTGCTCCCTGATGCCTTCGTCTCCTCTTCCTCATCACACTCCCCTATAGCCAGGCCTCTGAAAATCCATCACAAAAGGTTTTTAAGGACAGCCTCGACATTATACAGATAGAGCTTCACATATTGATGTCTAATGGGCGATGGCAGGGCGCTGTTGAAATGCTGCTGTTCAATGTTCAATATTCACATCTTGTCCAATGCAGGCAGACATTTTGCCTGCGGTAGGCAAAGATTAGTGCCGAGTGTACGGGTAGTGCTGGACCAGACATTGCAACCAATTAAGGGGACTTGTTTTAAAACGACAGTTACCGTCATTAAAGGTGACATCTGCTTTTAATACATGACTGATGACATCCAATTAAAAGGCTTCATTTGAATTATGATTTGACTTCAAAGCCACTTAAAAGCCTTGCCCTCCAAAATACCAACATGAGAGGATTTTGAAGTATTAGACGTATCAATCCATGAATTACAAAGGGATGGAATAATAAGGGTAGAGCAATTTGTAATGCTCCTACAGCTCCAAACATAAAGCTCTGCATACATCTAGACTGTCCTTGAACAGACCATTATCTCATTTCTCCGTAAATGCCAATCACAAAGTCGATGCATTTTGCAAACAATGTCTATTTAGCATTCCCTCCCATCTCGGGCCGTTTTCATTACGCATGTTAGCCGCACTCTGCACATATAAATCAGTTTACTACGCCACAGACTGTATATCAGTCAGGAGCCGTTTTATTAAAAAGGACAGTTTATCTCACCACACACTTCGTCCCACACCAGCTACCCTACTAAACTGTACACCCAATTAAACACATTCCTTTCCATTTCCACACACACACGCACACGCACACACACACAGTGGCTCCGAGTTTACGATATATGATGCACAATTCATGGATGATTTTAAAAACACCCTTTCAAGGAAACCTCCAGGCACGGACACGAGGCTGTTGACCAACTTGTTCTCCGCTGCAGCATGTGTCCTTTGAAAATGAAAATGAGGACGTCTTTATTTGTCTCATGCAGTTTGTTTAAGCAAACTGCATGATAATCTCCCAGTTGGTTATGTAGTCTACTCACTCTGGGATGAAGTGAACAGGCGAATGTGAGCAGCGGAGCAGATAATGGCCTTGATGAATCTGTCTCTGTACACTCAGTACACTTGATGAAAACCTTATATTTCTTAAGCCTGTTTTCACAAGGGGGTTTGATTCTGCACACAAGATACAGGCACTTAACGCACGGTGGTTAATGAAAGCTCAAAAGCTTCGTTTAAAGAAAGGAAAGAAAAAGATACAAAACATGGAGTTACCTTAATGGGAGGGTTGTGTCCGTTGGGAGCTTAGTGTTGCGCATATGGAGCTCTGACCTTGAGGAGGTATTTTCACTAGGTACTTAATTCTAAAAGCATAACCGTTCTGATGGGGATAATTATTTAGCCCATACCTTTTAGTATTCCATACTGTGCCAACATTGAAATCTAAAAGTACATCTTGGCGTCACTAAAAGACAGCTGGTAAAAGAAAAGAAAAAAGACAGGAAAGCGTTTCATTTATGCAGCCCCATAAAAGCACCTTTTTCTTATTTATTTTAGCAATAAACACGTAAGAGACATAAAAACTACTGTGCCAATCTTTGAATATTTTTTCAAGTTGAAGTATACAAGAAGCATGACAGATTTGAGGGGTTTACGGACCTATTCAGGCAATATTATGTATTATTCTTGCCATTGAACCCTTAAAAAATGTGCCCACTAAATAATAAAATCTAGTTAAAGGGCTCAAAATGAACAGGGTCTGGTTTTGCACTTTTGGATTATTTTTGATCAGTGTGTGTGGTAGAGAAGGATTTTCTACATTTTCTGAATTTCTCAAATACCTTGTTCCTCAGATTCACTGCATCTCCGAGTAAAAGATTTTTAAAACTGTATTTGTCCGCTTTCTCCTTTTAGGGTGGTGCTGAGCGACACTCAGCCAGCTGTCCTGCTGAAGCAAACAGCAGTGAAGTCTACCTCGAGGATACTCAACAGCGGCCCATTTCTGCTGACCTGTGGGGGAACTTTTCACACTCAAGCCACGTGACCGGTCATCCCAGCGCCACTCAGAGCCAAAACTACATACAGCCTCTGAAGATCATCTGTGTGAACTGAAAAGGAAGCGATTAAACATTCAACAGAGGAGAGTGAGGCAGAAAGTGAGAGGGAAGGAGAGAGAAGCCTCTGAATCCAACTCTGACAGCCTGCACCGGTCCAAACTGTCCATCACCGCCTCAAACATACTCATTACCATCACTGAACTGCGAAATTGATGTTGTAATAATTGTTATAATACAACTAATAATTGTAAGGACTCTATCGCTGGATTTTTCTGAGCTGCGGAAATCCCACTTATTCTCTCCTTGCTGCTCATTAATTAAAAAACACTACCTGGTTATTAGAAGCAAGTGCAACACGGCACTGAACTATTTTTGCATGACCCACTGCTTGCAAGAGTATCCAGGATTGCTTTTGACTTCGAAGAAGGACCCTTGAGCCCTCAACCATCTTCTGACTGTCTGCCCAACTGTAGCATTTGGGTGTGGAGCGGTGGGTTCAGAATTAGGCCCCCTGGACACTCGTTGAAGATGACTTGAGTTGGCAGGCCTAAAAGCCCTTTACCCCAGAGAGAGAGAGCTTGGCAGTAGGACACACACAGACACACATGCACACACACACACACCACACACAGATGTGGGTGCCGAGGTGGCTTTGAGCCATGCTGGTGTTGCTACTTGCGCAGCCCTGGAGTACAGGCTATCATCATCCCTACCATCATTCACCCAAGCTGAGGAAGATTCAACGGCCCCGAGGAGCAAGGCTACACTTGTGAACGATTCAAAGAAGACTAAGAAACTGCGCTAACACACGGAGATCCACGGCTACGTCCGCAATCACGCTATACACTCTCCTCTCCACAAAACCTGTGATACGGGGGAAACAAAGCTGCGGCTGACGTGAAAGGCACAGAGACTGAGCAGGTTAGCAAGCCCTCTGCAATCACACCCTGGGTCGATCAGACCTTACACGCAAAAACACACTTTCTCCCTGCATTCTCCGCAATGAAGAACACCACACTTACATCTCGCTTTCAGCTACATGATAGGGGGGGAAAAAAACACACACGCACTGGCTCTGTGCTCACACAAAGGCTCTTATTTCAGAAGATGATTGAAATGTTGGGGGGGGGTTGCCGCAAAGGGAGAGGAAGGCGAATGCGGTGGCGAGAAAGCTGAGGACAAGAGGGAGTGAGAAAGAGAAGGTGGGGAAAAATAAGAGGTAGGGGGTCTCTGCTGCATCTAAATGAAAAAGAGAAACTAAGTCGCCATGAGGGAGAGAAGAGGTCTGGGCAGGAGGCTGATTGATCCAATCTCAGTGTGCAGGAATCAGACAACTGGAGAGGAAACGATAAAAAAGGATTAGAAAGAGAAAAAAGAGAAAAAGAGACAGGGGAGGAGGAGGAGGACTGCTTCTGTAAACAAACCTGAGTGGATATAATGAAAGATTATGAAGGGGTGGTGGTGGTGGTGGTGGGTGGATGGGAGAGGTAGATGGCGTGAAAGATAAAGACACAGTGAAGGGGAGAGCGCCATAAGGGAGAGCGACAGTTTGAGAGAGTGAGAGAACGAGGCGGGAATGGAGAGAAGACAGAAAATCTACAGATCATTAAGAGGACGTGTCGATCGGAAACCTTGGCATGTAGGCAAAAAACACTCATACAGGTTTGTGCCAAGAGGTATTTATGAAAGGGAAGCGGGGATAGAGTAGCACCAAAGCATATGCTAGTTGATATTCATAAAGCATTCCCAATATGGTCTCAGCTCCTACCTTGACACTCCCTCTTGTGTGCATATGTTCCTCTCCCTTACTTTCTCTGTCTCTCAAATGCTGGCGACGCTTGGAAATAGTCTGATTTAAGCTAAAAATACCATTAAGTAAAGAGAAAAATAAAATATGGGTCCGTGCCGAATTGCACAGACAGTCTTTTTTACCCCTAAAAATCAAATACTGCCTGTGTCGAGCTGAGACAGGGGCTGGTTGTTGATGTTGATCTCTCTCTCTCTCTCTCTCTCTCACTCACACACACTCACAGCTATTTTTTAAACCCATTTTACAAGCAAAAACAACACTATTCTCCTTTTTACAGCAAACTCAGCTGATACGGACTTGAGTCTTCAGTGCCAGAAACTCATTTCCTCTCTCCTCCACTGACTGACTGTCCAACTCTCTCCAACTCCTCCCCCCACACACACACACACACACACACACACACACACACACACACAATCACAATCACTTCTATTGTTGCCATCTCTTGTTTGCTTTGCATGGATTTTGACTGCAGCCAAGGGGCTATTTTGCATCTATCACCGAGTTCACATATGAAAAAACACACATACACATGCATGGGTGTGTGCGCAGAAGGGGAGGGCAGGCGGGGGGGACTTGCCTTCAGAGGATTTGTTTATCAAATGTGCTGTCAAATCATGTCAGGCATTTCACATCAGGGCACATTTTCTAGCCCGAGGCCACCAAGAAGAAAGGATTCAAACAAGAGTACACGCCACGATGTAATTTCCACAACTTTCACTCCTGTACATTATTCATATTCTATAAATAGTGTGACGTGAATGTGAGAGCACAGAGATCATTTGATCTGAATTGTAAATTCATGTTATTGATGTTGGTGTCAGGAATTCGCTAGAAGACAAGTCATAAAACATAGGCCGAGGAACGTATTACTGTTGCAGAAAAATGCTTCTCTGTAAAATATCTCACTAAAACATTTCTGGGGATTTCAAGACCACTTGCCTGAATAATTTATAGAAATTTCACGAACAATAACAACCGAGAGAAAACATGCATTATACATGTCAGCTCGTACTGAGACTGTTCTGTATGTGAATACTTTGTTTTCTGTAGGTTTACTTATTTGTGTGTATTTCATGTTGTGTGTTTTTGGTCACAACGTCGAACAGGCACATTGTGTTTCTGAATATACAGCCAGGAACCTGCGAAATTCTTCTTTTCCATTTCTTCATCTACATGTATTCGCTTTGTAATTTCATACGAAGGTCAGATATAGTGCAGTCACAACAAGTTCACCACTTCTGGTGTCTTCAAAGAAATCAACACTGTGGGCAATTAATCTGATTTCCTTCTCTCCTCCATTTTAGTTCCATGTCACTCACTCCGTTTCAGTTAATCTCCCTGAAAAAAAAAATGTCACTGTCCAATTTTCTCCATCTTTGTCATCCTTTTACCAATTCTTGTAATCTTCCTCGGCTGCTCACTCCACCCTTCACCGCACTTCTGCCTCTAAGTGTCCGTTTGTCTTCTGCTTGGTCGCTCTGACCCATATAATACTAGACATCCCCTACAAAGTATGTCTGCCCATTCAATCCCCAAATCTTCTTCACTTGAGATAAAAACGCAACTTTTACCATCAGGTACAAATGACAGCACATCAGATGTGGTTTGTCCTGCACTTTATTCAACTCTCTCTACTTTCTCTTTTAAATGTAAAAGTGACTTTGATTTAGAACCAGTGAGTTAAAGCCTTTGTAGTTTTAATCCAGTTTCCATTTTTTTGTCTTTCAATCAGGAGCTGAGCACCAACATGGCAGCTGAGAGTATTGCTGAGCTCCGCGATTGGCTCTTTCTGCTCCTCCTGTGCCTCACCTTATTGGCTGAGGTGCTGGAACTGGCAGCAGCGGCAATTGCCATGGAGACGGGCGAGGGAGACGAGGGCATTGTTTGTCCCTCGGTGTGTCGCTGTGATGAGGGTTTTGTCTACTGCAACGACCGTGGCCTCAGTATAATTCCTCCACTACCATTAATGGCTGCCATCCTCTACTTGCAGAGCAACCGGCTGAGTAATGCTGGCCTGCCTCCCTCACTGGAACGCAGCACTTCCATACGAGTGATTTACCTGTATGCCAACCAGTTGGATGAATTCCCTATACACCTCCCGCCTTCGTTACGGGAGCTCCATTTGCAGGATAATAATATACGAACGTTACCGAGATCAGCTTTGGCCAAACTACCATTACTAGAACGATTGCACCTGGATGATAACTCTATATCCACAGTTAGCATCCAGGAGAGAGCATTTTCTGGGACTCCACGGCTTCGACTACTGTTTCTGTCTCGGAACCACCTATCAAGCATCCCTGCAGGCTTGCCGGCATCCTTGGAAGAGTTACGACTGGACGACAATAGAATCAGCACCATCCCCACACATGCCTTCCATGGGCTCTCCTCCCTGCGACGCTTGGTCCTGGATGGGAACCTGCTGGCCAACACGCGCATTGCAGATGACACCTTCTCCCGTCTCTCCAACCTGACTGAGCTGTCACTGGTGAGGAATGCGCTGCAGTCTCCGCCAGTCTACCTACCTTCCGCTCACCTTGTGCGACTCCATTTGCAAGACAACGGAATGACTCACATACCACGGGGGGCACTGGACGGGATGCGGCGGCTACAGAGGCTGGACCTGTCAGGAAACAATCTGACCACTCTCCCACGAGGACTTCTGAAGGACACAGAAAGCCTGGAGCTGCTACTGTTGCGGGGAAACCCCTGGTACTGTGGCTGCAACCTTCGCTGGCTCCACGCATGGCTGCACAGCCGGGGGGCTGCGGTGACAGTCAGGGGTCTGACCTGTCAGGGGCCCGAGCCTGTAAGGGGACAGGCCCTCAGAGAACTATCCTCCCTGATGGAGCAGTGTGAAGGCCCTGCTGCTGGTCCCAGTACTGGAATGGGGATGAACCCAGCAGAAAAAGATGGAGGAGGTGAAGATGGTGGTGGAGGGGGCCAAGCAGTGGCTTCAGTCCCCCATGGTAGCACCACCACTACCTCCCTGCTGGTCCCCACACAAGGTTCCCTCTTCACCCTGCGAGCCAAGCGGCCGGGCCTTGTTATGCCTCTGCCTCCTGGTGAAGGGGGACAGGTGTCTGGAGAGGCCCTGGAGCTGACTGTAAAACCTCTCTCTTCGGAAAGTGTACTGGTGAGCTGGCTGTGCCCACAGCCGGCACCCTCCTTCCGCTTGTCGTGGCTGAGGTTGGGAAGCAGTGCAGCTCTTGGCTCCATTACAGAGACTCTGGTACCTGGAGAGAGGAGGCAGTACCTCCTTACCCAGCTTACCCCACGCTCCCATTACCTCATCTGTCTGCTGCCACTACGACAGGAATCCTCCTTTGGGGTTTCCAGCATGGGTATATCTCGAGTTGGCAGCATGGACACAGACAGTCAAGACTCGGCCCCGTCCTGCGCTCAGATAGAAACTGGAGAAGCTCTGGTCAGCACAGGAGGGGAGGGTTCAGATAAAGAGGGACAGGACTCAGAACTGACAGCCCTGCCATTGGCTGGGATCATAGGGGGTGCCACAGCATTAGTAAGCCTGCTGTTAATCTTTGGCATCTTCTGCTGGTATGGACAGAGAACAAGTTACGTGTCCGGGGACTCAGGCACATACAGCAGGGGCCGGGGTGGAAAACATTATGACGACTATGTGGAGTCAGGCACCAAGAAAGACACTTCCATCTTAGAGATCAGGGCCCCTCCTGCAGGGTTTCAGATGACAGCTATGGCCCATCAGCCCCTGCAGCCTAAGCTGGAGGATGTCACTTACATCCACACCATTTTCCCCTCTTCTTCCTCTTCCTCCCAACCTAACGGGACCTACCGGAGCAGCCACGGAGCCGGCAGCCTCAATGGCACCATCCTCAGCCAAACCAGCCACCATCATGCCACTTATGGTACCAACCGTGGCTACAGAGAGGGTGGCGTCCCCGACATAGATTATGCCTACACGTGATGATACAGGGACACACTATCTGAGCCACGAATGCCGGGAGCCATTTCTATGATGACGACCCCTTGGCTGGTGGCCATGTTGTCCTTGGTTTCCAAAGTACCCTCTGTGCCTCTGCTGGTTCAATTCTGATTGGTTTGCTATGTAGAAAAGACTGATTTCAGCTGTGTTGATTGGACATTGCTATTGAGTTACAGAAGTAACAGTCCTACTATACTCTACTACTGTATACTACATTATACAGTAGATCCTTCTTGTAGTTATAAATGGTTACGTTTTCTCTTTTGGATATCTCAGTGTCTTTCAAACCTACTGTTCTTCTCAGCTCATAATAATACACAGTAACTTATTTGAGGTTGATATACTAGGCTTAGTTGATTTAGCAGGAGATATATTTATGAGGAAAAGGCACTTGATGTGTATAGAGATAGCTCTCATATCTTCCTACCAACTGTAAGCTCTGTGCTGTATAGACAAAAGGGATGACAGAGGGAGAAATCAATGGTTGTTATAACCCACAGATGATAATGCATCATGGTTGACATGAAAAGATGTGTTCCTAGCCCCCTCTCTTCCTCTGGTTTACACTCCCTTTTTTAATTTTTCCTCCTTTTCTTTTCTGGCGGAGGCTCTTTCCTTTTATTTCTCGTGTCTTTTGTGGTTGCCGTGAGCAGAGGACGACTTTGTTCTCGCCAAGGGAGCTGACAGCTGTGATAAGAGTTCTGACAGAGACAGGAGACAAACCACAGCATGGGGAGACTAATGAGAGGAGAGAGAGAGAGAGAGAGAGAGAGCGAGAGAGAGAGAGAGAGGGTGATGGATAGATGGGTGGTTGGAACAGAACATAAGACAAGGGGAGAGGGGTGCTGTTTGGTGGATGGAGGCACTGAGAGAGGTGTGATGGCAGAGAGCGAGTACAGAAAATGAAGGACGATAAGTGAAAAAAGGGCGTGTGACAAATTCAGCGGCAGGAGCTAAAAAAGAGAAGCAGACAAAAGGAAAAGAAGATGGGGGACCAAGAAGGGTGCGGGCGGGGTAAAGATGAGGGGTGACAACTGTAATAATGTGACATCATAATTCAAAAAAATGGCTCAAGTTTTACCACCAGTGTATCCACAACTACACTCAGCAAATACCTGACTGCACGTTTCCTACAAGAACTGATTCAGTTGCCTGTGATCATTACAAGTGAAAGACTCAACCTTACGCGTCATGCATCTTCATCATAAAATGGACCTGTTTACATGCCAATGTGTGTAGGAAGACACGGAGAAGAGAGGCATAGCAAGACAATCAAATGATTGCAGAGACCGTAGGACAAACGAGTAGCTTCAGAAGAACGGCTATTAAAAACCTCTGACAGAATTAAGAAAAAGTATGTACCCATTCACCCAATTTCTTTTGTGGTCTGGTCTCATTATTAAATTTTCTTTGCAAATGAAGTGGGAGAAATCTAATCATACATCTTATAATAGTAACTCTTTATCATCTAGAGCCTGGTTCAATCTTCTTAATTGAAAAGAAGTTTTAGCAGCTAATAATATTTTGGTGGAAGTTGGAACTACTACTACTAACAGAATGGCTTTAAAACTATAGATATTAAAGTGAGAGCTGAGACGAAACGATTAGTCGATTAAACCAATCGTAAGAAAATCAATCTACAACTATTTTGATAAATGATTAATCATGGAAGTCATTTTCTAAGCATAACTGCTAAATATTTCCTTCAGTTTTAGATTCCCAATTGTGAGTATTTCATAGTCTTGTGACAGTTGACTGAATATTGGATGAAACACACAATTTTACAACATCACCCTGGCCCGTAAATTGTTGTGATAGAGACGGGGGAATTTTAATTTTGAGTATTTTAAGTAAAATGAAAAATAGTTCTTTAAAACAACTGAAATGTCAAACTTGATCTGATGCATTCTGTGAGTAGGAAGTCGACTCCATTAGTTTACTCAGGTCGTCCATTTTTTTTCTCAACTTCATGTTTATTGGGCAAAGTTAAACAAATACACATTCCAGTTATTATAAAAAAAAAAAAGATATTTTAAATTCTCCTGAATAAAAGTCTAAAACTTGCCTTCCATAGAGATGTCCTTTACGTAGGTCGTCCTGTTTTAGGCCACACTACAGCATGGACACACAGCCTGACCGCTACACTGTGCAGTTTAACAGGCGAACAAACATGTACACACTGCATGAAGCGGGAAGCAGCACCGGCTTTCTGCCTCTCACTGACCCCACTAATATACTTTAAGGGAGGAGGAACTTCAAAGGGAAACGCTAACAAACAGCCAGAGATCAAAAGAGGACGAGGAGAGAGTAACAAGAACTAAAGAGTGAGGCCGGAGAGGGAAGGATGGAGATTAGTGATATAAAAGGAGAGAGGGCTCTCTTACTTTCAGTAGCTCTCGTTCTCTTTTCCAACCTGTGTTGCTGTGCACCAGTAATATTGGACGAGCTCGGTGTGGGTTTTTTTAGGGTTGTTTTTATTTTTTGCAGCATTTGTTTTTGTTTCTTTTTTTAAGTGCACTGAAGCTTCCTGTCATTCTGTGCAGAAATCTTTTTGCCATTAAAAATGTCACCCTCAGACGTGATAATAAAAAAAAAAAATACCCTTATGTATCAACATAAAAATGGGTGCAAAACGCTATTCCATTTATCATCTTTTTTTCTACACAGATGAATAAAGACTTCTAAAAGGAAAAGTAGTTTCAAGAGTTTTCTTTATGCGTGTGTGTGTGTGTGTGTGTCTGGAGTTCATTAAATCTTAAACAAAGTCTGGAGATATCAAATAATGCACTGGGATGGCTGAAAAAAAAATGAAAATCAATGGAAAGCTCAAGATTATTAATATGATTTATGACGAGACGGAGTGGACCTCGTTAAATCACACACACTGGGATGAATACATCAGTGGCTCCGTTTGGATATGGTGGAATCTGCCAGCCCAAAGCGGGCGCATGTGTTGTCATCCTGAGAGGTTTGCGTGTTGGCGTGTGTTGTATGTTTCACCAAGCAACATGAGAAACTCTGTGTGTGTGTGTGTGTGTGTGTGCGCGCGTGTGTGTGGATGCGTTTCTGCTCCGTGCTTCTGAAGACATGCATCTCATTCCAAGTGAGTGCTAATACTTGTGTAAGCGTGGATCAATATAACGAGCAGGGGAGTGTATAAGTGTCCATCTTGGAGTAACTGCTTGTGTCGGGTGTTTGTGAAGGAGAGGGTCAGAAAGAAATGTACTGTTTGTCGACGGAAATGGGTTTTTGCACAGTGTGTCTGTGTATGACAGGGAGATAAAATAAATGCCTTGATATTAATGTGTATCTAAAGGATTTGCGATTACAGGTCTGGGTGTGTGCTCTAAATGTGATGCAGCTGTATCTCCACGTCTGTGCTCTTACTGACAATGCCCCGAGTTCTCATCCATCATTATAGAGGCCTTTCACTGTCGCAGTCCATTATCATCTCCAGCTTAATTATTCACATTACACCCAACAAAAAGATGTATCCTCAGAGACTCGAGCACGTTGAGTCTGAAATGTGCCCGAGCACAGCAACAAATGGGATCAAAGTGGATTTTCCAGATATGCCTCCATTGTGTGACTGCAATAGTAAAACATGCTCAAGATATCAAACATGTTCCACATGGATTGCGCAACAGCAGTGTCTTTAGTTTCAACCTTTCCTTCTAATTCAATCTATTCCTGAATACCTTGCTTCTATTTCTTGAACAATTGAGTCCAACTCACCAATTTGCAATAAAATGGTCAGTTGCATTTTAAAGTCCAAACTCGTTGTTTTCTTCACTGCAGGGTCTGTTAAGAGTGATGTAAAGCGTTGCACGATAAACTGCCTTCCATTGTTTGCATGCATTATAAGCTTCTTTAGCAAAAGGTCAATTCATTCCGATAAACACATGCATTTGGAGAAATGTATGCATGAATATATATACATTACCCAAGCTATGCACAACAGAACAGAATAATTTCCACACCACAATGGGGTTTTTTTGTTCCCCACATACAAATGTTCCTAAAAGTTTCAGTTGTTATTCAGGTGAAACTCAAACTGTGGACTGTAAGCTGCAATCAGTTCTTGTTCGTTTCAGACTGCAGATTGAGCAGCAAAGGGCACAGAGGAGAAAGACAAACAGATGCGGTATATGGACAGAGTGCACAGCGGCACATAGCAACAGCTACACACCTGCGTGCGGTCAGAAGGTCCATATCTGAATCACACATACGGCATGCATCAACAGCATTAATAAACTGGAAACAATATCTCACAGAAAGAAACCCTCTGACCCCAAATCACAACCTCATCTGTAAATCCAGTCGTGGTTGATGGACACAAACCTGTACACCTTGGAGTGACAGGGGACTGGTGGTCCCACTGTACGGCGGAGCTGCATAACAAACGCCCTGACACGTTTCTCTTCACACACACTGCAAGAAACCGGTGAAACACCTCAGAGGTATGGACTGATCCAACAATAACAACAGTAGCGATGGATGGAGGGGACATCGCTGGAGAGAAACAAGGCAGAGAAGGAACTAAGGCAACCTCTGGGGGATTATAACGACACCATCTGTATGCATTATGCTGTCTGTCAGAGAGAGAGACACTTTAGTGCCTCTGCAAGACGACGCGAGTGAGATGGAAGCAAAAAAAAAACCTCCTGCCATAACCACGCTGAAAGCAAGTATAAAAAGTTAACCAAATTGCCCTTGTACTGCAATTGTCCTCTATTCCATTTCCCAGCCTTGTGTTTTTTTTATCTTTTAATTTAGCTCAATTATGAGCCTTTACACCACTGGATCTTTTTGTAACCTTGCTTTTAGGAAAAAAGAATGTCTGAAATTAAAGAAAATTATAAGCATTTATAAACTCAAGTTGCCTTATTTTTGAGACTGGCATTAAGTGAATAGTTGATGGATTCCTGCTCTTCACCTGATAAACAGTCAGGCATTCAGTTTCATCACCTGCCTTCAAGTGGAAAGTGAAGAGGAACAACTCTGAGCTGAGGAGCGCTTCAGGCGTGGGGGTCCTCCAGAGCTCTCAGCCTTCACTCACGGTCGGCTTACTGCCCGCCTCTCTGGGGCTCGACACTCTGGACCGCACCGAGACCGCAGCACTCGTAGTTAAGGCAACTTGTGATTTCTCAGGAGTACCGACTCTCGGCCTTTCTTCAGCAGAGGCAGACACGTCGCAGCCAAAAGAATAAATGAATTCTGGGAGCACAGTAAATTATTCATTACTTGGTTGAAAATTCCACAGAGTGGTTTGTGATCACACCAGAGGTCCAGCACACACAATGCGCTGTTGGTTCAAGGCTGCATCATTTAACGACGCATGTAAAAAAACATCGACAAATATTTCACAACCATTAATCAACTGTAAATTATTTGCTGCTCTCTCTCCAATTTATAAGACTTGGATGGCGGCAAACAATAAAAAGATAAAGCAGGTGACATTCTATTATTTTCTTTTCATGCCATATACCTCCATTGTTATCCAAAAACTGTTTAAAGAAACATGCTAAGTCAGGGCTTAAGGTGCCAAAAATGAATGAAACATCCCTGGTTCGAATAAAGCCCGGGCACCTTGTTGTTGGATCTCATCTCGATCCCTTCATTTCCGGTTATCTTTCAACTGTGAACCTGGCAATAAAGGCAAACCGTGCCCAAAAAAATACTAATAAAAGAAAAAGATGAAGAACAAAATGTTGGCTGATATTAGGTTGGATCAGGTTTTTGGAGATGTATCGTATCAGCGAATGTGTTGGCCAATAAAGAAATAAATTACAGTAGAAAAATGCTGAAATTGTGTATGTTTGAGGAAATGTAGAAACAGTCTGCATTGCATAGTTTTTCCCACCAAAAAGCATTAACTTTACTTTTCAAATGCAAAATGTCCCGATCAGTAATTACCCCACGATTCTTTAAAAAAACAAGAGAAGGTATCTTCATCAAAAATATTTGTGCATGTAATGTGTTTAAAGTATGTGAAAAATATCATTGCCTAAAAACTACATGACCATCTTTTTTCTGAAATGATTTGGCCTTTTCAATAATTAAAGTATACATTGGTTTTAAAGGACTGATGTCTCGAGTATGAATGAAAAGGCTCAGAGCAAAGTGACATCCACAGGTTGAAAGTCAAAAAGAGACACAATGGCATTCTGTTGGTTTTGGTCGTTTCATGGGATTTGTAGGCAATAAATACAAATATAGAAAAACACCAGCCTTCAACTTTGCAGAACTTTCTCATCATAAACATGTGAAATCTGGATTTTTAATATAATATTAACTTTAACCTTTAATAAAACTTTGAGACCGACACACAATACTCACACCCACACTATGAAGTGCAAAGATTAACCACACCCACACACACACACACGCGGCTGGCTCATGCATGAGGAGACAAGGAACCCATCACATGCTGTTGATCTTGCAGAAGACACAGAGAGTAAAGGGTGTAATAAATCCTTTCACTGCTCGACGTTACTGAGATTGAGGTGTCCTTTGTATCTCAATGCATCTCGGTGTCCTTGAATTTTTATGACAGAAATTCACCTGCACTTTGCTTTCAGTTTACTTCATATACAACAGGAACCAAACAACAAATTGTAATTTCAGGGATTAATATTCTTCATTTTTAATCATCAGGGTGTTAAAAGTGAATTAAAATATTCTTGTTGGTGTAAAAAGAAATGCTTACCAGGGGATTTACAAAACAAAATATCATGCTTTAACTAAAATAATTTAATTAAAATGGCACTAGTTGAACGAATTACCAGTTTCACAGCTCAATAAATCTGTAGCTAGGATATAAGTCAGGTAAATGGGCGACAGTAAAATGTACTGTGCATTAAAAGCTACAACCACATGTTCATTCTCTCTTCACAGGACTTATAACATACTGAGAAGCTGAACACGACGTTGGAAACACTCACTATGTTACCTCCATGCACTACATCCACCACTTCACCGTCCGCTTTCAGCAAACATCAGATACTGTACAAACCGATGCGCTGATTGATCAACCTCTCCGATGGGCTGGGTCTCACCCATGGACAATGGCAACAACAGGATAAGTGGATAAACAGTCCCTATAAATAGTCTTGTCATTTCCGAAGCTCTGATAATGCAGCCGGGCCGGCAACATGCTCATCGGGCACCACTTCACAACAATGTCTGATAGATCGCAATTACAAGATGGTAATTCAGTGCAGTGTGTACTCGCTGTACACACTGTCGGGTGTGTGATTATGTGACAAAAGCATCGTCTGATGAGGACATGTGAGCAGACAATGCCGGGGCCCATGTATTTGCTGGTGGAGAGAAGGGAAGAGGACTCTGGGTTAGATTAAAGCCCCTTTTGGAGGTTCCAATGATACGCCCTTTGTACTTTGCTCACTAAGCTATGATTGCTAAGATGAGAGAAAGTGGCAGCTTTTTGTCAGGCTACATTACACTTTATTATTAAAATAACACTGCCCACAATGAGGATAATCTTCCCCCAATGTGCTTTTAATTTCCACATCTAATTTCTTCTCATTCCGTCTTGTGTGTCTCAGTTCTAGTCAACATCGCTTGCACGGCCGGTTCACTGAAACAGATTTTGGATTCAAAAACCAAAAGTCTAAATGAATAACATCAATCCTCAAGGGTTGATAAACTCATTAAAAACAGCCATTTATCAGGTGATTGTGGACGCACTTAACTTGCTTCTTGTATTCGACCCGAGCAGCCAAGGAGACGAGGACTTTGGAGGCACAGCCAAAGACTTAATGCTCGGCTGATTACTGGCACTAAAAGCCAATATTTGGAAAAAGGTGCACTATTATTGCCATAAAGAACTGGGAATGCAAACGATTATTGCTACACTGAGGACTGCATTAAGTGAGACAGCACAGAAAATTGAACTCTGCCCCACACAAGGGAAGACATACACATCTGACAGTTGGCCGCTTTACAAACTGCACATTATTGTCACGCTGTCACAACCTCGGAGGACCGGTCACATTTAGCCAGACATTTTGAACGTGAAATGAAGCGCCTGTCGGCTCGTCTGACAGCATCTGAAACACACCGATTTGAATTTTTCTAAAGCACTGCAGGGACAAACGTGGAAGATCATATTAAAATGATTATGGTGGGATTTTTGCGGCGATCTGATCCAAAAAAGGATGTTTTATCAAGTCTGTAGAAAATGACATGTATAGGCCAGGACATGATATGATAATTGCAGTAAGCCAAAGTATGATTTAAATAAAATCTTGATTGATTGTGCAGCCCCAGTGGTAACGCTAAGTAGGATTTGAACTCTTAACACTGTTTTCTCATGCCTCACAATATAAGTTGCTTTTTGTGCCTTTGAGGACAGACTGTCCATAAGTGTGTGTTGTTGTAGCAAATGTAATGTGCATCAACAACAAAGTCACAAAAAGACGCAGGGTTGGACAGAGATCAGGAGGGCAGTGGGATGCCGACAGGAAGTGTGTCGGTAGCCTGATAATCAGACCGAACTGCTGCTGCACTTTCTTCATTCAGCCTGACTTCGTGCTTATGTTAGCCAATTTCTTGTTAGGTGAGGTTATGCTCTAACCAATCAAGAGCAAGCGACGAATCTGTCAGTCCAGTCGACATGGAAGCTATTGTGGCAGTTGGTAGGAGCAAGAACTAACTTGAGATTCAGGTCTGCAGCCAGGGCGGTCATTCAGAACAGATGTAAACATTTCTGTGTACACTTTTGGACGATCTATTTCAGGTGAAATCCCTCGTCGGTCCAGCTTTGAGATGGACCGTCTTTACCGTAGAGGGAGCAAGATGGCTAAAGTAAATCCAGCAACAGCTTCCCATACGGAGGATCCTCTCCCGGGCCTAGAAGGAGTCACAACGGTGTACCACAAAGCAACACGTTTGATCGTAGCACTTGTCCTGATGACAGAAGCTCTGATGGGCCAAGTGCTGATGATCGAGCTGACTCCTTTTCCTCTTTTACTCCCTCACTCACTCCATCTCCTTCAGTCTCCCACATCGGCCCAATCAGGCTAATGACGCTCGCACTTCCTCCATCCCTTCCTGCTCACTAAAGTGGCAATTGATTGGAGGGGTGGGAAAGCTTTTAACAAGGGAGGGGTGGGAGAGAAATAATTAGCACGAATGAGCTTTTCTGCAAACTCCTCCAGTTTGGCTTTTCTTTCTCCGTTTATTTACTGACCCGGACAACATTAGGGATTAACTCTCCAAGGGTATGTTAACTTCTCAATGTCAGTGTGTAAATCAATCTGAAGCTGTAAACTGAGGCCCGTTTGTCTAATGCCAATGTCTCACTCCTCTCGGGTCACATCCCTGCGATGATGTCTTAATGGAAGCGGTAAAGAAAAAGAACGGGGATGGGAGAGGACGAAACTCTGGAGATGTACCGTAAAGAATCGTAGCTTTTCCTCCGTCCTCCCACTCAAAATTGAGACACAAACTGGACATCATTCGGGCACTGAACCTTGAAAGCTCAAATTTTTCAGCACACAGAGAGCATTAAT